CATTTTACAGAGTTGAGGTTGATGTGAAAGGGCAGCTCCCAGCACCCTCTAACACAGCATCCTGGTTTAGTTTCTTCACAGCACTCACAACTGATCACTGTGTTTACTTCTTTATTTTCAGTCTAAGCCACTGCAGTTGTAAATTCCATGACAATCAGGGATTTATGGATCTTTGTCCATCTTGTTCTCTGTTATTTCCTCATACCAAGAACCATTCCAGGCACATACCCATCTGAATGAATAAAGAATTCTCCTGTGTGTAATTGTATAAATATTAGGGGTGATTGATACTATAAAGCAGCGGTTCTCAACCTGTGGGTTGCGAACAATGAAAATACATCCTGCATATCAGATATTTACATTACGATTCATAACAGTAGCAAAAGTACAGTTATAAAGTAGCAATGAAAATAATTTTATGGTTGGGGGTCACCACAACATGAGGAACTATATTAAAGGATCGCGGCATTAGGAAGGTTGAGAACCACTGCTATAAAGGGTGAAGTAGTTACTTTTATTATGTTAAATTTAACATATTTAGCAAGACAAATGCAGGCTTAAGACTAAGTGGAGAAAGAGAGAGAAAGAGAGGGGGGAAAAAAGACTACGTGGAGAGGGAGGGAGGGAGGGAGGGAGGGAGGGAGAGAGAGAGAGAGAGAACCCCCAAGCTGCCAGAAGTAGCACCATCTGAAACCCAGACAGCAGGTGAGATCACCTGGGATGGAAACTTCACAACTAAATTCTGGCAACTCTACAGAGCGAGGGACAGAAAGATACACTCTGCAGTAGCAGTTTCCCCTGGTGCTGCTTTTATCCCTGATAGAGAAGCCAGAGGCAGGGAGATCACACAAGGGCCGAGATGGTGCCTCTGGAGCCCAAGCTCAGGTTAAACCATGTGTGAGAAACTGAGGTGAGCAAAAACCATGAGCAGGTATTCGAACCTGGCCAGGAAGCAGTGCCTGGCAGAGTGAGAGCATGCAAGTTAGAAGACTGTGGGGGACTGTCAGGTCTGAGCAGCTGATTCCGTAAGAGGTTTCAGCAACCCCAGTCTAGGCAGAACTGATGGGCTCCGGATGCCTGCAGCACTTCCAGCAGCAGCAGGGTTGGTGAGAAAGAGGACTCTAGGATTTTCATTGCATAAATACAGAGAGGAAAATGAGATAAGACCCCCTGACATCAACCCCTACTATAACAGACAAATAACACAAGAATTCAAGACAAGGAGGCGGGATTCCAGAATTAATGTTCACTGCTGCTCTGAGCAAAAACTGAACAGTAAACAATAAGGATTTCAAAATTAAAACAAAAGAGCCACTTCAGTATTCTAATTTAACCTTCAAAAAGAAAGACCTAAAGCACCATGAACTGAGAATTCCATTCCACCTCAACACCCTGTACTCCTGAGTTATTATGAGAACAGACTGCAACGCAATTCAACTCATGTTCCAAAATGCAACAAGCGGCTTCCACAGGACCTGCTGAAAGCAGCAGCGCGTCTCCTCTCCTCGCCTTCTGATTCATATTTTGGTAGCAAGGTTACAATTAGCTCACCAGTGGAGAATAAACCTATTTATAACACAGCAGTCCACCTGAAAGGCACAATCAACTAAAAAGGTTTCTAGAGGGAAATGAAGTGCCGCTTCTTCCTGCACTGATTGCAGGTTCCCAAGGTCCTTTAGGATGAAGCCTCACCTTCCTGTGTTCACAGGCACCACGCCGGCCACCTCGCAGCCTCCATGTTCTTATGTAACATTTACATAGTGCCATAAACATACCCAGAGTTGCGTAAGAATTAAAACGTTGCCAAACCAATAAAGCCTAAAGCAGGTCACTCCCTCCAGACTGCTTTTGATGAGCACAGGTATGCTGCCGGGTCTGCGATGGAAGAGCCCGTCAAAAGACAGAAATCTGACTCATCTACAAAAATGCACCAATAAGAAGAAATTAACCACACTGTGACGCGGTGGCGCTTCTGTCAGTCCCGACAGCATGTTACTCTGGCCCATAACATAAAAAGTAACGCAACTTTGCTTGTTCACTGAAGTCAGAAACTGTGTCTAAAAATACCTCCCAGCCAACTGGCTATCGGTCAGTCAGTCTCACAAATGTCCCAATAAGAGTGACACAGACTGTCTCCTTACTTTACAGAGGGAGAACTGAGGCAGTCACAGTAAGGCTCGGTGACTTATTCAAGGACAGCCTGTAAGGGAACCACGTTGTGGGACTGAAAACCAGCCTCCTCCCCTCCCTCTGGCTCTAACCTTTAACCAGAGTAGCCATTTTATTATGTTTCAATCACATCTGTTCCAGGAGCTTTTAACAAAACTAATCAGAGATTCCCTTCCTCTCTCCAAGAGTTCACTTTCAACTGTACTTCAAAACCACGTCCACTGAATGAAGTTACAAGACTTGGCCTGAAAGGAGATTTTCAGTCTGTTCAAAGAAACTCAAAATGTTCCTATCAGAAGCTCAACTGCTGCCATTATTGCTTTCTTCTTAAGAAATGAGTGTCTTCTGTTACTAATGCAATTTTACATTTTTAAATACTAGTGTGAAAATTCCAAAGAGAGGCCTTAAAACTTGGTACACCTATCAAATGGATGCTGTTTATATATAACCTGGAAGTCATTCGCCTTATCACTGGCCTTTTACTAGTTCACTAATTAAAAGAAACACCTCTCCCTTGCTGTCCTCATGTCATGCCCAGGCAGCAGGCAGCAGGGCTGGGGCTCGGCTCCTCCAGCCCACCTAGGGAAGCTCGACAGAGGAAGTGCAGGGGAGGAAAGCAATCAACTTCTTGTTATCATCAGCCTCTATTTTCCCAGAACTGACGTTTTACTTTAAGCCTTTTGCAACAGTGGTCTCTGTAGCATGCACTATTGGCAACTAGCTGTGTCCCGGAAAAAACTGTAGTGTCTGGCCAAGAAGTTTAAAGGCCTTCGAGAATGTTTGCTGGACACACAACCCAATTTCCAATTTACCAAAAAAAGAAACTAATTCCCTATTTTGACCACCCATCTCACCCCAACAAACACCCATTTTAGGAAGGTTACAAAAAAATAAAATGAACTCTGCCCCATTCAGAACCAGTTGGATTATCAATTAAACATTCTTAACTAAGCTCACAACAAGAAAAGCCCCACAGACACTACACCAAGTTAACAGGGAAACGGCTGTTAAAAATCCTGCATACAGTAGGGACTGGATAAAAATTCCTATGGAAGGAATTTAAAGATTTATTCATATACATATCAGATGACAAACCTGAAGCCCAAGTCTCCTTATTTACTACCCCAGTAGAGAAATAACATGATGTTACACTTTCCAAAACATGGCCCACAATAAGGCCCAGAAAACATTATTCACGAAAACCATGATCTTAAATGTCAGGCTGCGTGCATACACCTTCCCTGTGTTATCAGAACCACGGCATATCACCAAGCACAGCGCACCGAGACCCAGGAACACACGCCAGGTGCTGAACACAAGTATTAGCCACTGAACAAAGACCCCACTTGCACAGGCAACACCACTGGGAACAAATATGGGAGCTGGAGACATGAACTTGTTTCTGA